TGAATCAATAAGTACCGTGTGTCAAATGCAATAAAAATACACACAATATATCCAAACAATGTAAATGAACAGCGTATTTAAACAAATGAATACAGTGTCCGAGGGACCCTGAGTGGACACTGAACCTGGTTCCAGGATGTTCTCTAGTTTCTACCCTTTCCTGGCGAATGAGTGAAGTCTTCCTGTTGACAGCTGTTGTGAGAACTCAGTTCTTTTCTTCTTAGTTTAAAATAATTCAAACAAGAGACACATAGTGAAGGAGATGCAGTACGAAGTAATTTATTGCAAGAGTAAAATAATATTTTGAGGGCCAGATGTGGTGGCTCACGCTATAATTATTGCACTTTGGGAGGCCAAGGCAGGCAGATCACCTGAGGTCAGGAGTTCAAGACCAGCCTGGCCAATGTGGTGAAACCCCATTTACTAAAACAAAAACAGCCAGGCATGGTGGCAAGTGCCTGTAATCCCAGCTACTTGGCAGCCTGAGGCAAGAGAATCGCTTGAACCCGGGAGGCGGAGGTTGCAGTGAGCCGAGATGGCGCCACTGTGCTCCAGCCTGGGCGACAGAGCAAGACTCCATCTCAAAAAAAAAAGGAATATTTTGAAAGTTAAGTGCAGAATGGACAGTATACTCCTGAGAGGGAATTCAGGGCGAGCTGCTCGTTAAGGATGAGACAGTGTGGATTATTGCTGGGGAAACCCCTTTTGTGGGAGTCTTACCTGATTATTCATAAGGAGGTGGAAAGAGGTGTCACTAGGAAGCGTCCTCTGGGTGCGCATGCGCAGTAGCTGTACGTACATGGTTGTATGTCACGTTTCATTACCATGTTAAATCTCCACCCGGGATGTGTTTTTTACTATTATAATGAGCAAAGAGTTGGTCTGAGGACAGGTAAAATAAAAATGTGCATGCTTCCTATGGGGGAGGTTCCCTACTGGAGATAGCTTTGCTTGGGTGAGCTGGACCACAGTGCCAGCGCTGGGGCTGATTGTGTTGACCGTCTGGTTGCCACAGTTGCCATGTCCCAAGGACATGGTTTCTTTCTTTCTTTTTTTTTTTTTTTCTTTTCAGACAGAGTCTCTGTTGCTCAGGCTGGAGTGCAATGGTGTGATCTTTGCTCACCACAACCTCCGCCTCCTGGGTTCAAGAGATTTTCTTGCCTCAACCTCCAGAGTAGCTGGGATTACAGGTACCTGCCACCATGCCTGGTTAATTTTTTGTATTTTTAGTAGAGACGGGGTTTCACCATGTTGGCCAGACTGGTCTCGAATTCCCAACCTCATGGTCCACCCGACTCGGTCTCCCAAAGTGCTGGGATTACAGGGTGAGCCACCACGCCTGGCTGGACATGGCTACTACCTATTCTTCCTGCCTCATTGTCACTAAGACATTGCCTGGTGGAGGAGACTCATGGACGCCCACCCATGCTGGTTCCCATGGTCCAAATGAGAATTGCTCAGGATTTCTCCACTGAATTTTTATTGTATCAGAAAGGGCTTTTATTGTGATATCATGAGGCAACACAATTACTTTCAGTAGAGTCCAAGGGAGATAGCAATGTTGTACAGATATTTGAAAGAAGAGGTTTAATTGGAACAAGAAGGATAGGACTCCCAGTTCCATCGTGGCCACTCTGAGCCTGAGCGGCCCTGAGGTTGTCTCCAGGGCTCCACCCCGTTCCCGTGTCTCTGTCTGCTGCAGTGTTGCTGTCCCAGAGCCTCAGCTCTGAATGAGCTGGAACTTAACGATATGCAAATTTCCACTCCATGGGCTGATAGGTGCATTTTCTGCAGGAAGGTAATATATCTCTCTGTTAAAGCAGTAATGATTTCGTAGGTAACTTTATTGAAATTAGGACTGAATTCTGGATGTGAAGGGAAGGACTATGGTCTCCACCTCAAATTTATATTCTCATATTTTATTTTTGAGACAGAGTCTCACTCTTTCATCCAGGCTGGAGTGCCAGGGTGCGATCACAGCTCACTGCAGCCTCCATCTCCTGGGCTCAAGTAATCCTCCCACCTCAGCCTCCTGAATAGCTGGCACTGCACGTATGCACCATCATACCCAGGTATTTTTAAAATTTTTTGTAGAGACAGGGTCTCACCGTGTTGCTCAGGCTGGTCTTCAACTCCTGGACTCAGGCGATCCCCCTGCCTTGGCCTCCCAAAGTGCTAGGATTACAAGTGTGAGCCACTGCGCCCAGCCTCTTGAGAATATTTTAGAAAGAAGAGTAGAAGTTAAACTGCAGTATGAATTTCACAATGATGGAAGGCAAGAACACAGGCTATGTTCTGAACAGGACATGATGAGCTTGGGGATGACAGGCCTCCGAATCCAGAGAATGGGGAACTGACTCTGGGCAGAGCTGGGTTGGGAAGGCTCTACCCAGAAGAGGATGACCTTGAACTGCCATTACCTGTGTGTGGAAGGGCACCTCACAGCAGCCAGGCCTCTGGTCAAGGATGACAGCAGGCTGGGCTCTGTTAAGCCCGGCATTCATGGACACACGCACAGTGGAAATCAATGTATGGGATGATTTATATTTTCTATCCTCCAAATGAATTCCTTCCTTCCTTCCTTCTTTCCTTCTTTCCTCCCTCCCTCCCTCCCTCCCTTTCTTTCCCTCCTTTCTTTTCCTTCTTTCCCCCCCTCCTCCCCTCCCTTCTTCCCTTCCCTCCTTCCTTCCTTTCTTCTTTCTTTCTTTTCCTTTTCTTTCCTTCTTTCCCTCCCTCCCTCCCTTCATCTCTCTTTCCCTCCTTCCTTCCTTCCTTTCCTTTCCTTCTTTCTTTTCCTTCTTTTCTTCCCTCCCTCCCTCCCTTCCTCCTTCCCTCCCTCCCTCCCTTCCTTCTTTTCTTTTCTTGACAGGGCCTCTCTCTGTCACCCAGGCTGGAGTGCAGTGGTATGATCTCAACTCACTGCAGCCTCGACCTCCTGGGCTCAAGCAATCCTCCCAACTCACAAACTAGTTTCCTTCTATTTCTTATTACTTGATGAATGAATCTATGAACTAATTAATAGCTATTACTTCACTTTCAGCCGCTTAACCTGCTGCTGAAAACAATGACAATGCTGAAAATGAGCAACTGCCAAGATAGACTAATTATGTCTCAAGGGAAGTGCCCAAGGCACTTAGATGATCTTTTTGTCACCATTAGCACCTTCCCCTAGTGATTAAGTTTGTTCTAATCACTTTTGAAGAAAGAAGTTACATGGTGATTTTAGTGCCTGGGGGTCTGTAGGTATCAGAGCTAACATCAGGATTTAGTTTTGTTAGCGAGTGGCGGTTTTTCAGATGAGACGTGCCAACGCCTGACTCATTTTCCTTCTCGTAAGTCAGGAAGGGTGCTCTCTGACATTGGTGAAAGGGGTAAAATTGGGTAGGCGGCTGGACTGATGCATGCATCCCAGCCCCTGATTCATGCCATTGGCTCTTTCAACTCAAAAGGAAGAGGGTGAGGTGGGAGAAGCAACCCATAGGCCAATAAACATTTGAGGGCCCTGTTTTTGGTGTAGGTTGGCCAGTTTCTATGCCAGGCCCACACTGTATCAGAATCATTTCACAGCATGCAGGTGGCCACGTTCAGCATTCCGAGTTCGTTAGGATGAAAACCTTTAGTGGCTCCCACATGGATCATACTCCCACATTTTTGTTCTGATTTGCTGTAAATAGAATTATGCTGAGTTTGTCGACGTGTGTGGCTTCCTACTTCATGCCTCAGCCTGTGTCTCTACATGCTGAGAGCTGCTTCACACAAGCACCTGTGTTCTGAGGTCCTGTTTTATGGCTCTGAGACCATGCTGGGTCTGGGCATTGGGCAAGGTGAGTCGGAAGTGCAGAAGAGTCAGTGGCCTGGAAGCCTTTCTCAGCTGATGATGGCTGTGGGGGAGGTGGAAAAGCTGAGCTTCTTGGCCTCCGCCCCTGCTCAGGATTTCAGCAACTCTGAGATGCGTCCTGTGCAGAGGACTGAGCCCCAATTACTTACTTGATAACACTGTCTATTGGTTCTTCTCTTTCCTGCCTCATGTCCCCCAACACCCCCATGGAGTTCCCTGACATCATCTCCTGTTTTGGGTTGGATCGTGTCTGAAGGATATAGGAAAGTTCTTTCTCAAATGAAGCATATTCTAGCTCTCTAGCATTAAGAAGCCTGACTCCGTTTGCTTCTTAGCAGACATTCCCAGGCAGGCCCAGGTATCTCTTAACCTTTCCTTATTTAAGTATACCTTTCCTTATTTAAGTAGGTCAAGGCTTTTCTAATTAACTTCCTCTTTTCTTCTAAGAAAAAGGAAGTTAATTAGAAAAGGCTTGACCTAGGCCGGGCGCGGTGGCTCACGCCTATAATCCCAGCACTTTGGGAGGCCGAGGCGGGTGGATCGCGAGGTCAAGAGATCGAGACCATCTGGTCAACATGGTGAAACCCCGTCTCTACTAAAAATACGAAAATTAGCTGGGCATAGTGGCACATGCCTGTAGTCCCAGCTACTCGGGAGGCTAAGGCAGGAGAATTGCTTGAACCCAGGAGGCGGAGGTTGCGGTGAGCCGAGATTGCGCCATTGCACTCTAGCCTGGGTAACAAGAGCGAAACTCCGTCTCAAAAAAAAAAAAAAAAAGAAAAGGCTTGACCTACCTAAATATGGAAAGTTCTTTCCTGCTCCTTAAAGTATTAGCCAATCAGCTCTAGTTTAGACTAGGAAGTCTGGTGCCAGCCAGTAGATGCTGGATATAGCAATAGGAACCCAGCTGTATAAAGGATACATATTTCTGCCTTTCCTTTGCTCATTGCACTGTTGTGGCAAGACTGCTGGCAAGTAGTGACCTTTCTGCAGAAAGTAAATTTGCCTTGCTGAGAGAACTTAGGACCTGAGTGCTAATTCTTCTTGGCAACACCGGAGAATAGGCGTTTACTTCCAACAGTGTCCCTTCAAAAGATATATTGAAGTCCTAACTCCTGGTACCTGTGAATGTGACCTCATTTGGAAACAGGGCCTTTCCAGAATTAATCAAATTAAGATGAGATCATCCTAGAGTAGAGTGGGCCCTAATCCAATATGCCTGTTGTCCTTATCAAACGAGGAGACCCAGAGACAGACACCCAGAGAGGAGAAGGCCCTGTGAAGATGGAGGCAGAGATGGCAGCAATGCATCTACAAGCTAAGGATTGCTGGAACGCCCAGGAGCTAGGGGAGAGGCATGGCACAGACACTCTTCCAGAACCTTCAGAAAGAGCATATCCCTGCTGACCTTGGTTTCCAACTTCCAGTTCTCATCAGAACGCTGACAGAATGAACGTCTGCTGTTCTAGACCACCCAGTTTGTGTAATTTGTTATGGCAGACACAGAAAACCGGTATCCTCCCGAATGAACTACTTGCAACTGAATCCTGGGTTCAGAATCTGCGTCTTTGCAACAACACGAATGCAACTGGAGGTCATTATGGTAAGTGAAATAGTCCAGGCACAGAAAGACAGACGTCACAGTTTCTCACTTATTTGTGGAATCTAAAAATCGAAACTCTGGAACTCATGAACATTGAGAATAAATGGAGGGTGATATGGTTTGGCTGTGTCCCCACCCACATCTCATCTTGAATTCCCACATGTTGTAGTGGGAGTTTCACCACATAGGCCAGGCTGGTCTCGAACTCCTGGCCTCAGGTGATCTACGCTCCTCAGCCTCCCAAAGTGCTGAGATTACAGGCATGAGAAGTAACTGAATCACAGAGGCGAGTCTTTGCCATGGTGTTCTTGTGATAAGTGAGTAAGTCTCATGAGATCTGATGTTTTTAAAAAATGGGAGTCTCCCTGCACAAGCTCTATTCTCTTGTCTGCCACCATGTGAGACCTGCCTTTCACCTTCTGCCATCATTGCGAGGCCTCCCCAGCCACGTGGAGCTGATTTAATAAGTCTATTAAATCTCTTTCTTTTGTAAATTGCTCAAGCTTGGGTATGTCTTCATCAGCAGCATGAACACGGACTGATACAGATGGCTGCCAGGGGCTGGGAAGGGTTTTGTGGGGTTGGAGGTGGGGTTGTCGGGGGTTGGAGGTGGGGTTGTTGGGGGTTGGAGGTGGGGATGGCTAATTCGTACAAAAAAGTGGTTAGAAAGAGTGAATAAGACCTACTATGTGACAGCACAACAGAGTGACTATAGTCAATAATAATTTAATTGTACATTTTAAAATAAAGAATATAATTGGATTGTTTGTAACTGAAAGGATACCTGCTTGGGGGGATGGCTACCTCATTCTCCACGATGTGCTTATTTTACATTGCATGTCTGTATCAAAACATCTCATGTACCCCATAAATATATACACCTACTATGTAGCCACAAAAATTAAAAATAGAAAAAAATTTTAAAAATAGAAGCTGCTTCTCAGAATTGCTAAACTAAGGCAAAGTATACTAGAAAGAATGAGATGACAGTACTGGCTGTTGGTATCTCCATGTCCCTGAAGAGTAAGAGACACTTTCCGTGAATAGGCAGAAAGAAACAATTCTCTTCCCACAGGGGAACAAACATTAAGAACAACACTCCTAATGTTTGTAGGAGAACGTATGTGGCATAAATAAGAGAAAGTCAAGGACTGATTTGGTTAGAGTTTTCTTTGTTTAGAGGGGCTAGAAACACACCACTGTGATTCTCTGCTATTTGAGTTTCTTTTTGTTGTTGTTGACCCTGAGTCTTGCTCTGTCACCCAGGCTGGAGTGCAGTGGTGTGATCTTGGCTCACTGCAACCTC